AAAAATTCCTGCTCTGAAGTATATGACTTTTCTCTCTTGTCTTAGAATGAAGTGAGTAGAATCTGTGACATAATTATAGCTTTCTCTGGGTCTTTGTTTCATTCCTAAGGGTTTTGCCATTCCCCCTATACTCTAGGTTAAGGGTAGAATTTTCTTTCAGATCTCTCCCTTTTGTGCCTCTTACGTTTAGTCTATCACCAAATACTGATGAGTATTCCTCCAAAATGTCTGTCTCTCCCTCATGTATTCATGTGGCCTTTACCCTCACCACTTATTATAATGGACTCAGTCCGCTTGCCTCCTGTCTGCCCTTTCCATTTTCCTAGGACATTATTTTCATCAAGTAATGTTCTCAGTGATGTGCTCCCCTATGGTCACGCTCTACATGTGTCATATTTATTCAAAAGACACACTTTTAGGCAGAACACTTCTGTATCATAATATGCTTTTGCTAAATCGGTAACTCTGCTCATGATGAGCTCTCAGTTATGCCAGAGCATATATCTTTTACCTGATACAGGCCTGTACTTCTTGACCATCTCCGAGAAACTAGGGCTGACAAGAAGAGACTTCGGAAAGCCTTAAGAGAATTTGAGGAACAGTTTTTTAAACAAACAGGAAGGTAAGTGTGGGCAGAGATATTTTTTAAGCTAATATTTCCTAGAGAACTGCTGTTAAGAGTGAGCTGTAATTTTTTCAGGAACAGTGACTTTATATAAGACATAAATAATTTCCAAAGTGACTTAGACCCAGGATTTGTCTAATGCAACATTTGGGTAGTATCATTATTGGGTATGTTTTATGCGAGGCTGTAACTATCAAGTATGAGACAGCAAAGCTTTAAAACATAAAAGATGAACTCCCCAAATCCCTAACTTTGCATAATAAATCTCATTACAATTGAATGTACCTAAACCTTAAAAAAAAACTATAATATTTAATGTTTCAGCCCATATAACTTCTTTGTTCTTGGTTACTTAGTTCTACAGGTTACTCCCTACTTTATTAAATAATTCTTCATTTGCTTTAAATATATTCTTTAAGCCTCAGGATCTGCCCTTAATTATTTTATTTCAGGATTTGGTCAAGAGTTCATTCCTATTCTTTCTGTCCCTTAACTAAATGTTTAGCTATATCCTCTCTTTTTCTGTGTCAACCCAGTCTCACTATGCACTCCATTAGTTTCTCCTAAATTTTGGTGTATTGTGAACAAAATTATATATTTGCATATATATAAAATCATGAGAAAAGGATTATTAATCTAGTTCTGGGAGAGACAGAGACAAGCCAATTAGCTATCCTGAGCCTGTTTCCACAGTTGTAAGAAGAAATAATTAGAGTTCCTGGGATAACTTTGGGAAGCTATAGTTGTTGTGTGGGACGTCAGTCTTTAAAAAAATTTTAAAGGGTGTAACTTTGCCAAAGTCACGGAGTTATTAGGGTGACAGAGGTAGGAGTCTGTGATACACTGGCTCCTCAGTATTCTTCTCCATCTAGGTATCTGCCTTTCTTGAATCGCTTTGATTTCAGCAGCCTGAGGGCTGCCCTGATGGAGAAGAGACTGTTTTCTAAAAGCATCCTGAAAGTTTGGTCTACTCACCTCTTAGTAACTTTCTATTTCAGTCCTCCAGGGCTGTTCACTAGGACTGGACCTCTCAAACATTTTGCATTTAGCAAGTACAGATGTAACCCACCTAGTTTTCTAGTGGAATCTTCAAGTTGACTGTTATAAGTCCAAGTTACTTACCTTTCTGCTGATGTTATCTAGTGAGAAATGTTACACGGTTGTTAAATTTAGAATATAAAACATAATTTCTTGTTTTCTTTTTCCATTTCCATTTTTTCCTTTACAAAATTTCCATACAACTTTTACATTTTTTTTTAACCTATCTGAACCCAGAAATTTACTTTAAAGAGTTTGAGAACTTCCCAGTATGTTAACTAGTCCTGCCAAATGGGTCTGCAATGGTACTTGGCATGCCTTTGATATACAGGGAAGTTAGTTATGTTATGTGTATAGCATTCTAATGCACCAGTGAGTCCTAATCTCACTTCAGATATGCCTAATACTTGATTGAGGTTATATGCCCTCTTGTGGTAATACACTTAAACTAAATGCAGAAGTAGTGCTATATTACAAGTAAAATCAAATGGTTTAATGGCTAGGAAATATGGATCTTGTTTTCCTAAAATATTTCATTGGCAAGGGTTAACTGTACATAGCTAAAATAACCAGGCAAATGGATTACTAAAAATTTTAAGGTACTATAAGTGTTCTTGGTAATATTCATCATGTGAGAAGCATAATTATCTAGATATGACATTAACAGTTATGAGCCAGGAACTGTGCTAAACACTTCAGTATGTTTTATATAATGAGAAAACTGCTTAAGGAAATACTTAGCAAAAATTTTCACTCTGGCCGATGAACTCTTGTTTATTAGCTAAAATGGAGTATGAAGGACCAGGGACAATTACATAATGGCTTATACTATTTCCCTGTAAATTAGAACGTTTCTTCACTTAGATATGTTTACACAAATTAAGGTGGTATTTAGACACCCAGTTGATAAGTTTGGCTCAGAATATCGAAGGGAGGCAAAGCAATTATGTTAAATAATTGAGACAACATTTAAGAGGAACCCTGTCCAAAGATTTGTGTGCTGTTCTGAGTTCTGAACTAGAAATTTCAGGGCAGTATATGTAGTGTTAAAACACAAGTAGGTAACTGCATTCGTAGGGAATCTTTATAGATTAGCTGTTCTTTTATTTGGAAGTAATATAAATGTATCTTTATCAGTACTGGGAAAAGAGAAGGGGTATAGGTAAAATATTAAGTGTTTTCAGCCATACTAATATTGGAGAGTATCTGTATTTATATTCAGTGGCAATTGTGGTGACCTCACCTGTGTACCCACCCCTTGTATTTCAAAGTCATGGTTGGAAATATTTTAAAAGCAGTTGGCCATCTTTATTAACAAAGGAGGAAAGACCCTTCTGAGATCCTGAAGTAACTACTTTCCTTTAGAAAACATATCCTGGCAATGTATTTTTCTGGGAAGGCAATGGTTTTAACTCCAGATGCTATCCAATTATTCTTCAAAATAAGTGTCAAGAACATCTGGTAGTTAGAAGTCATATGTATAAAAATATGTGCATCATCATATGCCTAGTCTTAGTACAAATAGTGTGCAAAGAGAACCACTGAAATTTAGACTCAAATTCCTTAAAAAAACTTCTCAGTGATTCTTCTACTATACATTAGCAGAGTTAGGTATTATAATTACAGGAAAACTTAGAAATATTTCATGTTTGTAAGGTTAACTACTTAGTTTCTTCTCCTATTACCATAAATTTATAAGTTATTTCTGTTAATGTAATTTCTGTTGTATCTTTAGGTTAATATTTTAAAATGCAACTATCACTGTAAGGGCTGAACATTCTACACAGGCATGGATCATGGGAGAATGACTAGATAAGAATGCCTTGAGGGTTCTGGTTTTTATTTCCCTCGGAACTTTTCACTTGCCCCGACGTTATATGTTTATGCGCTGGATATATTTGCAAAACACTTAAAATATTTAACTTCTCGGAGTACTGTTACATTGAAACCTAGTAACATGTGGAGAGGGAGTGAATGAAGGTAAAAGGGAAGGGAAAAAAGACATGATGAAAAAATCAAGTGGAAACTGCTACCCTGTACTTTTCTCATGTAAGAGTTAGAAAAGGATTTTTAATGACTTGGTTCATTATTAACTAATGGACGATATTTCCTTTTTTGCAGAAGTCCACAAAGGGAAGATAGGATACCAATGGCAGATGAGTACTACGAATACAAGCATATAAAAGCCAAACTGAGACTATTAGAGGTCCTCATCAGCAAGCAAGATGTGGCCAAAACTATTTGAGGTTCAGGAAATGTTTGTGATCACTTTGACCCAAGATAAGTCAAGTTTATTTTCCTCTGCCGTTCTTGCTAAGTAGTTATGACAAATGAAAATTGAAGCACTTTAGTGTATTAGCTGTTTTTAAGAATGGATGGCAAGTGTAATTATAAATGAGTAGAAGGGATTAAAAAGGGAGGAGATACAACAAGGAACAGTATAATTGGAAAATAAAATTCAGCCTTCTCCAGGCCAGGGAGAAAATGCACAGTCAATATAATTATTTCAGAAAACATCTATTTTATCAAATCTAAATAACACAAAGCATCCACCTGTTAAATGGGCTACTGGTTAAGAAAGTCTACTTAGTGTCCAAAGATTGCTTATATTGACATATGGAAAAGAGCATAATTTTAAAAAATCAGTAAGAGGAAGAAAAGAAACTTTATTTTATGTAGGAAGGAATACAGCTAGTAAGAATGTAATTTATTTGGAACTTCTAATAGATTTTTAAGTGATAAAAAAAAAATCTACTACCTTGTTCCTTAAATCTGCTAGGCTTTCAGCACCCTAAAATATACGAGAATGTGTCACTGATAATTTTTTATTTCTATATAAAAATAGCACATTATTTTATCTGTTACTTAAAATTTTACATTTCTGATTACCAAAGTTCATTCTGATAGCATGTACTTTGTGAATTATCTTTGTCTATATAACAGATGTTTATATTAAAATAAAATATTGTATTAAAATTTGAAAATAGGTATTTTGGATAGATGTGTCTGTAGTATATAATCTAATGTGATCATAGTTATGATTGCTAATCTTTGTTTACTATAAGATTATATAACTATTTTTCCATTGGAAATTTTTTTTTTTTTAATGTTCCAAGGTCTATACTTTGTGAAGTCAGAAAACTTTCCCATGAACTATATAGTTGTTCTCCATCCTGTATAAAATGAAAGGTTTAGAAATTGTTGCTATGACACCTTGGGAAAGAAGCCAGGATATTTTATTTGCTTCATCCACTTTAGCGTGTGCAGTTTTGTACTAAACCAATCACCTGTTTATTACTTTTGCTTTTGTAAAAAGAAGTAAGAGGTCCACATTTTCTCTTGTACCAACCATGTTTATATTTCTCTTTTCTGTAATGTTTAAAGCATGGTGTTGAACACATTCACACTTTCACATAGTTTGGATGGGAAGAATATTGACTATTTCTGAAGCAGACTATTTCAGAGGCTTATTGTTTTGTTTTCTCTGTATTTACCTGATATTTTATAAATCAGAATAATGTCCTTCATAAATTTGTTTAATTAAAGTCATCTACTTGTAACAGAACAGATACACAACTATTTGAGGTTTACAAACTACATCTTTGATAAGGGAAATGGTTTCGTGACATGTATACAATTGCTATTAAAATGTAACTCTATATATTCTATAAGATTGTAAATATTTTATACAATACAAATAAAATATTTTCCTATTATATTTATTATGTTGAAACACATTAGTTGTTTCCTGTTAGCTAATATAAATAACATAAATAACACTGTCAAACAACAAGTTGGAAGTGCTGACAATTCTAGGCTTCAAGATTTAATTCATGCTGCAATTACACCCTTTCATGCGGTTTGGAATAATCCCAATATTTGCTCAGTAGATTAAAATGAGTGCATATTTAAACACCATTTATAAGCCATTATTTTCCATTACTTTGTATTTTGCTAAAGCAGTTTATATAATTGGTTATGTTTGGCATAAAGGAAAAATTAAAACATTGCAGCATCTAGGCAACAGAGTGTCAGAAGGACAACTTTTAGGATATTTCAGCATTGAAACGAGGGGGAAGGGTAGGGAATAGGAAACACTAAAACAGCTCTGAATGAAATTTGATAAGTGGCAGTTTGCTTTTGGTGAGAGCGGCATGTGCATGCTTCAGTGGAAGACATATGGTGATGAAGTGATGAAAATGGACAACAGAGGATCAATGCTCCTAAGGGAAGAAAGGGGACTAAGAAAAGTGGGCATTAACGTCCAACACTAATATTACAGGTTTTGCAGCTGGGATCTTTCTTTGCATTTGCAGTAGATAAACTCATAAGCTGATGACCAGTGATTTCTGCCACAGTGCCTAGAGAAAGATCCACAGGGTCAGTGTAAATGACTTCTAAAATGACATCCTGGGCATGGTGGTAAACCAGCATCCCATCTTCTTCTCTGCAGGTCAAAAATTTATTATCCTTGGAATTTAGTTGAGGAAGGCGCTGCTTACAAAATTCATCTCCTGGTGATCCCACAGGGGCAATGACAAGAATCACATAATGATAAGCAGTGTACATACAGTAGAAGTCCCCAAAGTATAAGTTAGTATTGGGGTTAAAAAGTTTTTCTGCTGTAATCTCAAACCTGTATCTTCCATAAGGTGAATCCTGGGGTGGCTTCCCAGTATTGAATTCAGTGCTGCAGCTGAAGAAGATGCCTTCCAATTTTCCACTGATAGGAGAGCCATGGCTACCACTGTTATCCTTGACAGAGGGCTGCATAGCATTCCCATGATGTTCTCTGCAAGAGAAAATAAATGGTCACTGCTTGGTATGACAGTGGTAAAGCCACTGATTTACAGAGTTTAATGGTGATAGGCCTAAAGGTCAACTGTCTACTATTAAAAGCCTGAGTGCTCATCCATCCTACCATCAGATCAAGGAGAATGCATCGTTTAACATTTCCTATAGAAGGCTAAATTTTAGCCTTGACCCTAAGGTAAGGATGCTCTGCTACAAACCTCAGAGGTCTTTTACATAATAAATTTCCTGACCAGGAAAACCAAAGTGAAATTAGAAATCTTATGGCTGAAACCACATCCATTATATGCCTACTGGATTTTAGAAGTGGCTTGGTGAAGAGAAAACTGGATTAACAATACTGGTTAAATATGTTGAATGTTTCTTTAAAGTATGCCAGAATTTAGATCTAAAATGAATGTTGTCCATGTACATTGGTACAAAAGCATCTTGTTTCTTTTTTTGCTTTAGTTTTTTTTTTTACCCAGACATAGTTTACTAATCAGGCCCTCTTGCCTGCATTTTCCTTAGAATAGAGCTGGTTATCTCCCTTTACCCCACTCTCAGATCCATTCTCTACCCTTTTCACCTTCCACTGTGGGCTAGGACTGTATCATCCAGTTCTTCCTGTTCCTTGGTCCCTTCCATTTCAGTTATACCAATGGGAGGCACAGTAAGAAAAACGGAAGGGTATCCCATGCTCTTGGATTGGAAGAATTAATATTGTTAAAATGGCCATACTATTCAAAGCTATCTACAGATTTAATGTGATCCCTATCAAATTACCCATGACATTTTTCACAGAACTGGAACAAATAATCCTAAAATTTATATGGAACCATAAAAGACCCAGAATTGCCAAAGCAATCCTGAGGAAAAAGAACAAAGCTGGAGGCATAACCCTCCCACACTTCAGACAATACTACAAAGCTACAGTAATCAGAACAGCATGGTATTGGCACAAAAACAGACATATGGATCAATGGAAGAGAACAGAGATCCCAGAAATAAACCCACACACCTACGGTCAATTAATCTTTGACACAGGAGGCAAGAATACCTAATGGAGAAAAGAGTCTCTTCAGCAAGTGGCGTTGGGAAAGCTTGACAGGCTCATGTAAATCAATGAAGTTAGAACACTGCCTCACACCATACACAAAAATAAATGCAAACTGGCTTAAAGACTTAAATATAAGACAGGACACCATAAAACGCCTAGAAGAGATCATAGGCAAAACATTCTGTGATGTAAATTGTACCAATGCTTTCCTATGTCAGTCTCCCAAGGCAACAGAAATAAAAGCAAAGATAAACAAATGGGACCTAATCAAACTTTGCATAGCAAAGGAAACCAAAAACAAAATGAAAAGACAACCTACAGACTGGGAAACAAATATTTGCAAACAATGCGACTGACAAGGGCTTAATTTCCAAAATATACAAACAGCTCATACAACTCAACAATAAGGAACAAACAACCCAATAAAAAAATAGAAGATCTAAATAGACATTTCTCCAAAGAAGCATACAGATGGCCAATAGGCACATGAACATATGCTCAATGTCACTAATTATCAGAGAAATGCAAATCAAAACTACAATGAGATACCACCTCACACCAGTCAGAATGGCCATCATCAAAATGTCTACAAACAATAAATGGTGGTGAGGGTGTGGAGAAAAGGGAACCCTTCTACTCTGTTGGTGGGAACGTAAATTGGTACAGCCACTATGGAGAACAGAATGGAGGTTCCTTAAAAAACTAAAAATAGAGTTAGCATATGATCCAGCAATCCCACTTCTGGGCATATAACTGGAAAAGATGAAAGAAATATTTTACACCCGAAGACAAGAAGCCACAATGAGTCGGTAGGAGGGGCGCTTCCGTGATATAATCAAATCCCATACCCTTTGGGTGAGAGACCCACAAACTGGAAAATAATTATATCCCAAAGGTTCTCCCACAGTAGTGATAGTTCTGAGCCCCAGGTCAGGCTTCATAGCCTGAGGGTCTGGCATCAGAAGGAGGAGCCTCGAGAGCATTTGGCTTTGAAGGCCAGCAGGGCTTGAGCGCAGGAGCTCCACAGGACTGGGGGAAATAGAAACTGCACTCTTGGAGGGTGCACACAAGATTTCACGTACACTGGGACCCAGAACAAAGCAGTGACTCCACAGGAGCCTGGGCTAGACCACCCTGTGTGTTGTGGAGGGTCTCCTGGGGAGGTGTGGGTTGGCTGTGGTGCAGAGGAGGGGCAAGGAGACTGGAGGTGGAGGCCCCATAAAATATTGATTGGCACGAGCTCTCCGAGAGGTGGCCATTTTGGCACTGAGACCTGGCTCCACCCAACAGCCTGCAGGCTCCAGTGCTGGGATGCCTCAGGCCAAACAACCAGCAAAGGGAGAACACAGCCCCAACCATCAGCAGACAGGCTGCCTAAAGTCGTACTGAGCTCACAGCCACTTTAAACACACCCCTTGACATGGCCCTGTCAACCAGAGGGACAACACACAGTTCCACACACCAGTGGGCAGGCAGCAGTCCCTCCCTCCAGGAAACCTGCACAAACCCCTGACCCAAACTCACCCACAAGGGTGCAAACACCAGAAGTAAGAGAAACTACGATCCTGCAGCCTGCGGAAAGGAGACCACAAACACAGAAAAGTCAGACAGAACGAGACGGCAGAGGAGTATATACCAGATGAAGGAACAAGATAAAAACCCAGAAGAACAAGTAAGTGAAGTGGAGTTAGGCAATCTTCCCCCAAAATAATTTAGAGTAAAGATGATCCAAGATCTTAGAAAAAGAATAGAGGCACAGATCGAGAAGACACAAGAAATGTTTCACAAGTCCTAGAAGATTTAAAGAAAATCAAGATCCACTGATGCTAATATGGCTTCAGTTAATAGAGCTTTTTAAAAAAGCAATGTTGAAAAACTGTACCCATGCCTTGGCAAGTATATATTTTATTTATATTATATATATATATATATATATATATATACTGCAGTATATGTATATATACTGCATCAAAATATAACTTACATGAATTTTACAACTATCATAGAAAATCCAACAAAGGTAAATTTCCTTGTTAGTAAATACATCTTTTATACTAGTATATTGGAATCAATCATACAATAATTTTTTTCCATTTTCCATGCTCCCCGTCTTTATCTTTTTTCTTCTTGGAAGAATTTTTGAAGACAGATGGAGCAAATTCTAGAGTATCTAAGGTCCTGAAAACAGGTCAATTCCCACCCAAAGGACAGAGAAAAATCAGAGAAATAGTGACCTCCAGTGGCCACCTAAAATAGACACTGGCAATGTTCTGGGAATCTAAACCTAGTACCAAACATGTATTTATTTATTCTATTGATGTATTATTTACTGTTAAACAAAATAGCAACTGTGGATCTTTTTTATTTCTAATTTTATGCTTAACAAATATAAAGAAGTACCTTTTTTGTTAAGTCATATATGGTCATTCCCATTCAACAGTTGACAAGTATAATAATTTGTGTTCTATCTCTCAGCTCATATTCACTTAATTTAGTGAATGGCATCTACTATGAATTATATAGATTGAAGGGTAAATAATTTGCTAGCAAAGAGAATTAAGGACTGAACTTTATAGGATATTCAGACATAAGGCAGGAATAGTTTTCACGATCAAAATATATCAAAACACATGATATTGCAAAGTACTTAATTTGAAGAACACACATGCCTAAATTCACCTTTCTCTCTTTGATTCTCTTTGCATGTTCCACAGCTTGGAGTTTATTTAGATCTGTAACCATGATCTTGATTTAAGAAAAACTGGAGAGTTATGAAACAAAAAAACCACAACAGAACTTCCTAATTTTTTTTCACATAAAATCCTGTCAAGAATACTTTAGAGTTTACAAAGTGAGATCAAGGCTTTTAAAATGACAAATTATAGGGATTGCTGTGTAAAAGTTTTAGAACCTATATCAATTTAAAAGCTTCAGTCTCACTTTAAAACACACACCAGCCTATTTGCTCTCTTGAAATTTTCTTCTACAAATATGAAAGGGCTGTAAGTATTAAAACTACTTGTGACATGGAATTCTTTTGAATTCTTGGAAACTGCTTTCAGGGACAAACATAGGATATCTTAGAAATACTACTGAACATTAGAATTCAAAGGTAAACAAAGGAGATTTTCCTCATGAATAATTAACCCAAGATAATGGCTGAGAGATTTCTACGTAGGCAGAAGCCCAAAAATCCCACCTGATTCACCGTGTTTCATGAACCAGTCACCCTTTTATTCTCTCATTTTCAATGACCCACAGGAAGAGGAGAAAATTTAGTAGTTGGTATGAGACAGAAGGCACTGAGTTATTGGGAATTGGAGGAGTGTGTATCTGTACAAGACATGCTCACCAATCTTAACCCTGGAGGTTTAAGATCTTCCACTCAAATAGACAGGAACTGGTGTTACAAGTGATCATGGAAAGGAATCTAAGTGAAGTGGAAAAAAATCCCATGATCTGATTTTTTTCTACTTAATTTTTCTGGGAAATAAAGTCATAGTATAATTATTTTGAGAAGAAAACTAAAAATTGCTATTTCACAGAAGCAGACTCAAGAGAAACCTGAGCCTAGAATTTGGGATGGCACTTAGTAAAGCAAATCAGTATATATATGTTTGGATTCTTACCGAATATAGTCAAAATATTCTTTGTGCTGGTTACGATAAAAAACAGAAAATTTAAGCATCCGGCCTGCAATCACTTCGGCCTTCTCCAACAGTTGTGTTAGATGAACTTTTGAATAGTCTGAAAAAAACAAAAAGTCTGTTATTAAAAATACATTATCAAAAGTATCAACTACATGCTTAATAAATTGTAGATTATTAAAATTTACTTTTAGGAAATTCATATTAGTGAATAGGAAACTGCACTTAAAAAAGAAAACATTCATTGTCTTTGGCACACGTTTTCTTTCTACAAAAATATTTTTGTTATAGTTTATGGTTGCTTTTATGAATACCGTTGCATTTTATTCACTCGTTGAAATTAAAGATCCTGAAACCAAAATGTTAAATAAGGAACACAGACTCTGCATAACCTGAGTAATGTCAATCAGCACCATAGTAGCCTTTCTTCAATCAGCTGATGAATCAAATAAAAGAAACTTGTAACCTGCAAGCAATAGCAAATAGAATTTAAAGGAGTAATAATAATAATGTTCATTTAATTTACTCCCTAAATCTATGAGGTTGGCAAGGTAGATTATGACCATTTTGTTGATGCAGAGATTGAGGCTTGTCACAGTTTAATGATTTGCCAAATGTTCATAAAGCTAGTAACTTAGAGACTAGGTCTCTGGCTCCTAGCTGGTAGTTTCTGAGTACATAAGACTCGTGAAAGATTAAAGTATCTCTCAAAGTAATCTGATCTTTTCCCAACTTTTTGTTTTGAAAACTGAGGACTGTTGCCAAACTCCTGTACTAGAATCTAAGCAAAAATTCTGGTCTATAAAGATTTTAAGACATTTCAAACAAAAGCAACGTAGTTGAACTACTCATGGCAGCATAGTTTGTTTACTCACTGCTTCAGTGGCTCAACAAATATTTATTTAGATCAGAACATGATGTACAAGGCATCATGCAAAATTAAATGATCAGGTTAAAAGATAAAAAAATTATTCTTCTTTCTCTCAAAGAATTCACAGTCTAAGGGAAGAAGTAAATATATAGACAACTATGACTTATTATGGGGTTTCATCTCTGTCATGGATTAGCCTAGAAGTAGTCAGTGGCATTCTGTTTTATCTCCAATACTTTGCATAGTGCACAGCATACAATATGTGCTTAATAAATTTTGAGTGAATTAGACGTCTAGATTAAAAGACAATATATATAAAATAGCTTTCTCAAAATTTACGCAGTCAATGTTACTGATAAAGCTTAGGTGAAACAGGGCTCTGAATTATTTTAATAAACTGAAACAACAAGCTTTGAACAGCCTAAGTTCCCCTTAGATTTTACTCATAAAAATAAAAATGCAGTATAATTTATAGAAAAATATTGTGGAACATTTAAAATAAGCTGGAATTTTCCTTATTATTTACCCCATAAATTCCTTAGAAGAATTATGGGATGTATTTGAATAAAAGAGCAATATGGGATCAATCTAAAGGAAAGAAAGAAGACAAAAAGGTTTTTCTTTATATACATAGAAATAAAACATGTACTCATGTAGTTACATAGATTATAGAAAAGAGTGAATGTGTGCATCTAGATAGATGGATATTTCTGAACTGAAAATGCCAAAGGTCTTCCTTAAGCTAAAGAAAAAATACTATTTCATGCCTTTCCCTAATGTCAAATGGGGTTTTAGCAGGTAAATAGTAGCTCTTTTTTTAAAAAATGAACAAATACTATGATGCTGTTTGGTGCTGTCCTATGGAAAATAGCATGTATTAAAATAATGTCAAAAGATACCATGTCTTTTACTGTGTCTACCTCCCTGGTAGGATGCAATAAAAGTAAATGGAAAGATGTGAAACGTAAGGTAGATTCCAAGGAGGAATTTTAATTCAGGAAAAAAGTTGAGGGGATATATTAATTCTAATGTGACATACCAAATACAGGTAAACATGAGAATTCTTTACACACTATTAATACAGCATTGAAATCTTTAATTACTGATTACTGGACTATCGTATATACCATATTTCATCTATTATAAAATGTATTTTTTTCACATTTTAGCGTCTCTGGCATGAGTCTGACAATAAATGTGATAAGAAAACAGTTTCATAGTTTAATTGGCAGTTTAATGTTTTCTTAGCAATACCTAAAATGGTGGATCTTATAATCAATGACATCTTAGGAAGAAATATAGTACCAGAGAGATACTATTTTCCTTGCTCTAATACACTGAGATTCTTAGCAATAAAGAATGTTGTAATCCTTAGCAACTTCCTCATAGAATAAACAAAAGGGGTTTGAAGATAAATTAATGTTTTCTTAGCAATACATAAAATGGTGGATCTTATAATCAATGACATCTTAGGAAGAAATATAGTACCAGAGAGATACTATTTTCCTTGCTCTAATACACTGAGATCCTTAGCAATAAAGAATGTTGCAATCCTTAGCAACTTCCTCATAGAATAAACAAAAGGGGTTTGAAGATAAATTAATGTTTTCTTAGCAATACATAAAATGGTGGATCTTACAATCAATGACATCTTAGGAAGAAATATAGTACCAGAGAGATACTATTTTCCTTGCTCTAATACACTGAGATCCTTAGCAATAAAGAACGTTGCAATCCTTAGCAACTTCCTCATAGAATAAACAAAAGGGGTTTGAAGATAAATTTGAAGTTAACTTAAAATTAAACTCTCATCCGTTCTACATATCCACATGAGAAGTTTTATACTGAGTTTGAAATTAAGAAGAAAACAGAAGATATTGAGATAAAGCAGTAGCTAAGCACATCCTGAGTCTGAAATAAATCTAGTATGAGGCTATGGGGAAAAAAAATAGCTGATTTATCTGAAGGATGCCTCAGCTGGGGAAAGTTGCTAGGCAACCTGCAATAGGTGAGGCAAACTGTTTTTATGACTTTTTCTACAAGCTCCTGTGTGTTGAAACAGCCTCTCTCTCTAAGAGACAAAAAGAGTGGGTGACAGATGTGTTCAGGGAGAGATATTTTTGTGTCCCTTCACCACCTATTTAAGTGCTCGATAAATATTTGTTTCTTGATTGAATGAATTTAAAAAACAGATAAATGCATAAGATGAATGGTAACATTTACAACCCAGTGGGCTATTAAGGTACAGTTCAAGATCAAAGGGGATGGGTTTCTACATCAGATATCCCAATCCCAAATGGCTATGAGGTCCTTTTTTTTTTTTTAACATCTTTATTGGAGTATAATTGCTTTACAATGGTGTGTTAGTTTCTGCTTTATAACAAAGTGAATCAGTTATACATATACATATGTTCCCATATCTCTTCCCTCTTGCGTCTCCCTCCCTCCCACCCTCCCTATCCCACCCCTCTAGGTGGTCACAAAGCACTGAGATGATCTCCCTGTGCTATGCGGCTGCTTCCCACTAGCTATCTATTTTACTTTTGTTAGTGTATATATGTCCATGCCACTCTCTCACTTCATCCCAGCTTACCCTTCCCCCTCACCGTGTCCTCAAGTCCATTCTCTATGTCTGCGTCTTTATTCCTGATCTGCCCCTAGATTCTTCAGAAGCATTTTTTTTTTTTTAGATTCCATATATATATGTGTTAGCATACAGTATTTGTTTTTCTCTTTCTGACTTACTTAACTCTGTATGACAGACTCTAGGTCCATCCACCTCCCTACAAATAATTCAATTTTGTTTCTTTTTATGGCTGAGTAATATTCCATTGTATATATGTGCCACATCTTCTTTATCCATTCATCTGTCACTGGACACTTAGGTTGATTCCATGTCCTGGCTACTGTAAACAGAGCTGCAATGAACACTGTGGTACATGACTCTTTCTGAATTATGGCTTTCTCAGGGTATATGCCCAGTAGTGGGATTGCTGGGTCGTATGGTAGTTCTATTTTTAGTTTTTTAAGGAACCTATGCAGTACTTTCTAATGAAGCAAAGACACACACACACACACTCTCTCTCTCTCTCTCTCTCTCTCTCACACACACACATGACACTAGTTTAGAGATGGATTATCAGCATTCAAGTCAAAAATCCAGTAACATATCTGCTAGGTAAAGTCATTGCAATCTGCCTCCATTCCCTTAAATTAGAGAATGATGTTCCTGGCTTTTTTCTTTCAAGACTGTGAAAGTAAGAAATGAAAAAAAAAAGAGGAAGGAAAAAGCTCTCTCTCTCTCAAAATGAATCGCAAAATATGCTGAGTATATTTTTATACTGCATCAATTTTTATTTGCAAAGCCTTTACTTTGAAAAATCAGACTGTGCATGTAGCACAGAAGTAATTTAATGCCATTACCCAGTTTTTGCTGAGAACCTCCACTCCTTCAAATCAGTTTGTTCTGTCACATGATGCTACTGGCAATGCAAAAATGACCAATGCAATACATATCACTTCATAATTATAAAAAAGAATGTATTTCCTATAATTAGTTTTCCAGGAACTATTAAATAAGGTGGGTTTTTTTCTGTATTTATACCCAGTTCTCTTACCTGCTGTGCAGAATTCTATAATTTCACTCCATTCAGACACAACATAATCACCATCAACTTGTTTTGAGGCGGTCTGCACTGCTACTGTATACTCAGTTCTTGGGCTCAAAAACCAGTGTCCACGGACAGTCATCGGCAAGGGAACAGCTTTTGCCACCAGTTTTGTTGGAACATCCTAAGCAAGGAAGAAAAAAAAGTAGAAAGAAAGGAAGGGAGGGAGGAAGGAAATGAATTAATTTAGTAGTATAACTTGAATCAATTGTAAACAATGTGGAGTAACATTAAATTCCTGGCTGATGACACAAGTTTCCTTTTTAAAGATATTTAGCAATTACTATGTTCAAATCTCTTATTCTTCAGATGTAAAAATTAAGGCCCAATTTGATCAAGAGACATGCCAAGATCATACAGCTAAGCTAATGACATAAATGTACTTGGATTTGTTTTCTTGATTTCTAGTATAATGTTATTCTCTGTACACTCCTTAATATGCTCCTTAAAATGCAATATTCTAATACTAAATGATAAAACAATACAAAAAAATGAAATAAAAATTCAACAGATTTAGCATTTTAAAATATTATATTTGTTTAATATATACTATGCAATAATTTTATCAGAGTAGCCCATTACTAAATATTTTATATGTCAAGGGACAGAATGTTTTTTAAATAAATATTTTTAAATGATTCTGTTTTACATACAAATGAGGTAACATTTGCTTTACTTGTATTCAAGTATGGAGCCTGTGTGTCACAGAAAAGTTTAGGTATTTTTAAACAATGATTAATAAGGTAAATAAACCTGCTAGTTGAGTATTCATTATATTTCCAAAGATATGGTATTCTAAGTATGGAATGAAGAAAGGGGGTCAAATCTTGACTCCTCACCATTTAATACTAAATATTTCAAAGCTAATTTAAGAAAGCAAATGTCAGCAAAGAGGATATCCAACACTAGAAGGAATAATTAAAATTGGAACATGGGAAAATAATGACATCAATCTTGTTCTCTCTGTCACACTTATCTGTGTGTATAAGCCTCATTTACCATTAGTATGTGTAATTACACATCTAGTAAAATGCATAATTTCCAGATAAGACAATTCTTCCAAAAGATTTGCCAAGTTAAAATTTATTATCAGTATTAAAATAAGATCAGTTTCATATCAGTGAAAATACTGAAACATAAGAAAGAATTCTTAAGCCAGATTACTATTATCCTCTCTACAGCTACATCTGAAGGAATGTATGTATCAGAAAAGATATGTGATAAGCAGACAGGTAAGAGAATAAATATCAGAGAATTGTTACATGTCTAAAACACCTAAAGGTTAATTTTTAATTCTCAAACCATAAAATAAAATTGACCACATAAAGCAATTTTCAGCCCTTAGGTATTTTAACAAATATCCTACAGTCTATAAGCTGCCATCACATTCTTCATTTGGCAGTTATAGGGAAAAATGTGTGCTTCAGTGGAAAACTGTGAATTGACTACAGCACACTCTTCTGGCTATCTTCTGATTTTGTGGAATCTATTTTACAACTCTGTAATTTGTAGACTACTGATAACAATTCAGTTATTCTTGTCTAAGTACATGTAAGTGAATTTTGCCCAGTGGAAGTAAAACCCTCCTTGCCTGCCCTTGCTCTTCCCCCACCCCATACCAGTTTTGCCTCCACTTAAACATTTATTTCAATACCCTGATCCATAAAAATGTCTTTTTCTGGATCATCCTTTGAATTGGCTGTAATACCTCATCAGTTACCTCATTAATGTGTTAAAGAAAATCTTTAACACATGTTAATTTTTATGTCTGTATGAGAGTCAAGATTTCAGCTTTCCCAGAAAAAAAATGTATTTTACCCATATATTTGGCATTTCATTTTCTTACACAATTTCTTGAAGGAATAGGGCTTTTAAATGACATATAATTTTTATTCTTCCCAATGTCAAATATATCATATTAGTAATTAATAGAACATTATTCCTTCTTTCAAAATGTCCTCATACTTAGAAAGCTTTAAGATACAAATGAATATAAGGATGTTTAGAATTTTACCTTGTGTTTAAATTTATTGGAGTTCTTGTTCTCTTTCTTATTGAGGTCAATGAAATAGTGTGTAATACGGTCTTTTGATTTTGAATCCATTTCCCATGAAATCTTGAATGAGTCACACGTAATGTTGCTTATTTTGATGTTATGTGGTACGGGAAGTTCTTCCATCTCTGCTATGCCACTGTCTTGTGATTTGTTTCCTGCAAGAAAACAATGCACAGATAATTTCCAACTAATGGATTTTTTCTAGTTTGCAAGACCGTTAGCCATGTACCTGTTTCTGAACTCACCTAATTACTAAATTTGAGATTTCATTTTGTTCATGAAGTAATTTGAGTGTTAATGATAGTAAAACTATCATTACAAGATCATATTACCAACAAAATGCATAAATGAATTAGTCCTTACCACCTCTACGTTTTCAATTCCTTTTCCAATTTCTGCGTTCACAGAAATAAAAATAACACTGGTGATCCATCTTTCTAATCTATGAAAGATTAGCCTTACATGGTAGGTTCTGCTGAAAGGCCCCAAGTGACCATTTTTCTTACATGACCAATCGATTCTGCTCTAAAGTAATAATACTAGGTGTTTTAAGCCAGATGAAATCAGAAATGTTGATAATGAAATGAAACAATCCAGTCAAATAAAGGCAATGTTTCTTTAAAAAAAAATCTGAGGTATCAGTGAGTCTATAAAAATTACTCTCCCTTCCCCCTTTTGGAAATTTATATATAGAAATAGCATGTAATGTTTATGCTACATACATAAATAATATCAAAGACCATTCTCTTAACAGTTACTATGTGAAGGATTACTCTAGGAATCTTTTTACCTGCTGTATCTTCCTAAATTTAATTTTGAATGCTGAAACAATAGATAAGGTTAAAAGAAAGAAAATGACTGCCATGTTGATTGATATCATTAAAATCTTGAAGAACGCATCTGACGTCTAGTTACTTTACAGACTATGTCCTACATTTCCAATTAGAGAAAATGTTATCACTTTGGCTAATATTATAGAGCAGAATATGATGGATGACAGGACAAAAAGAGAAAATATAGACTTGCCAAGTTTGTTTCATATGTAGGAAAGACACACTGAGTGAAAATTTACTCCACTTCTCCTTCCTATGTTCCCTTCCCCCAAGCCAACATAAAATTCAGTGCCCAAGAAAAAAAAAGTGTAATTGTTATTTATGTTATATAAGTTGTAGGTCATAAATCAGCTACATAATTTGTTCCTTAAAAGAATAAACAGGGACTTCCCTGGTGGCACAGTAGTTAAGAATCCGCCTGCCAATGCAGGGGACATGGGTTCGATCCCTGGTTCGGGAAGACCCCACATGCTGTGGAGCAACTAAGCCTGTGTGCCACAACTACTGAGCTTGCACTCTAGAGCCCCTGAGCCACAACTACTGAGCCTGCGTGCCATAACTACTGAAGCCCACACACCTAGAGCCCGTGCTCCGCAACAAGAGAAGCCACTGCAGTGAGAAGCCCGCACACCGCAATGAACAGTAGCCCCTGATCGCCACAACTAGAGAAAGCCCGCGTGCAGCAACAAAGACTCAACAGAGCCAAAAATAAATAAATTTAAAAAAAAGAATAAACAAATCTTGATCGACAATAACTGAAAGGAACAACAATCAATGTAGCAACACCTTCCACTTCCATATTAGCTTGTGCTCTCTGCCCCCATACTCCCATCTCAATTACTGATACAAATCTTTTGATATTCCCAGTCTTATTAAATCATTCACCTATGTTCTCTCATCCCAAGCTGTGTTGTGGCCAGAGGAACCCGATGACAGTCAAAGACTAATTTCGAAATAACTGAAGTTCTTTATTGTCATTTCTTGAATACTTTTAAAAATCCTTCTTTCTTCTCTCATGTACTCCCTCACACCCAGGCTTTCCCAGATTCCCACTCCATAAAACTCCCAGAAAAATTACTCCCTCACCCTTTTTTCCCTCCCCACCTGCCCTCGTAGAATCTCAAAATTGCTTCCTGCTAAAGCCTTTCAGAAGTCAAGTGTAGGGAAGAAACAAAGTGGAATCTCTTTAGTGGCCTTGGGAAAGGGAAAGGCAATAAATATACAAACAGTAATTTTTGTTCTATTTATAAAAGCTCACATTTTAACCTATTATTCTGACTGCAGTTATCTTTAAAATGTAAGCAACGTTAAATGAAAAACTTTCTGGACTAATAGCAGAAATTTCTGTACAAATTATATGCATTATGAGGAGGAATCAAGATGCCTGAGGAGTAGGATGTGGAGCTCACCTCCTTCCACAAACGCATCCGAAACACATCTTCAAGTGGAACAATTTGCACAGAACATCTACTGAACACTGGCAGAAGACCTCAGACTTCCGAAAGGGCAAGAAAACCTCCACATAAGGACAAAAGAAAAAAAAAAGAAAAAGGAGTTGGGATGGGACCTGTGCCCCAGGGAGGGAGTTGTGAAGGAGGAAAGGTTCTCACACCCTAGGAAGTCCCCTCACCGGCAGGGAGATCAGCCTGGACGAGGGGGAGCGTCAGAGCCTCTGAGGAGAGTGCAGCAACCAGTTTGCGGAAAGCAAAATGGAGTGACCTACTGCCACCCTGTGCTCCCTAGCCTGAGATGCTCATCCACTGGTACGCGTGGGGGCTGCGTGCTGAAGCTTGGGCTTCAGAGGTCAAACCCAGGGAGAGGAACAGCGTTGCCTGTGGGGAGACAGCCTGAAGAGGCTGGACTGTGGCAACTGAGGGTGTATTTGGAAGAACCTGGGCATGCCAGAAGGGCAAGTCACCATTACTGGGGGGTGCACGAGGACAGGGTGGGACTGCCATAGGAGCTTCTTTCCCTGTGTGCATGCTCTCAGGCAACAGAACACCAACTATATGAGCTCTTGGGGTGGGCATGAGCTGCTACCGCCATCGTGGGCTCCAGAAGTGGGCATGGGCTGCTACCAAAACTAGGGGACCTGTGCGCAGGCACCAATTGCTGTCCCCACTGTCCTGGGGGTGAGTGGGCCCTGCCGCAGCTAGGAGACCTGGGAACAGAAACTAGTTGCTGCCCCTGCCGTATGGGGAGCACGCACGGGGGGTGAGCAGGCACCAATCACTGTCCCTGCTGTCCCGGGAATGCGTGGGCCGTAGCCACCACTGGGAGACCCAGGAGCAGGTGCCCATTGATGCCCCTGCTGTCCTGGGGGCACATAGCCAGTGCTGCCACTGAGAGACCCATGGTTGGGGGCGGACCACTGCCCCTGCCATACCAGGAGAGCATGCAAGGGCTGCTGCACCTATGCACCCCATATCAAAGGGATAATGGCCAGTACACACTGACGAAAGAGGCAGAAAGCATCCAAACTAAAAGTAGCCCCTCAATTCTGGACAAGATGGTGGAGTAGAAGAACTTGAGCTCACCTCCTCTTACAAAAACACCAAAATCACAACTAACTGCTGAACGACCATCAACAAAAAAGGCTGGAACCTACCAAAAAAAAAAAATTTTACACCCAAAGACAAAGAAGAAGCCACAACGAGTTGGTAAAAGGGGCACTTCCGTGATATAATCAAATCCCATACCCTTTGGGTGAGAGACCCACAAACTGGAAAATAATTATATCCCAAAGGTTCTCCCACAGTAGTGATAGTTCTGAGCCCCAGGTCAGGCTTCATAGCCTGAGGGTCTGGCATCAGAAGGAGGAGCCTCGAGAGCATTTGGCTTTGAAGGCCAGCAGGGCTTGAGCGCAGGAGCTCCACAGGACTGGGGGAAATAGAAACTGCACTCTTGGAGGGTGCACACAAGATTTCACGTACACTGGGACCCAGAACAAAGCAGTGACTCCACAGGAGCCTGGGCTAGACCACCCTGTGTGTTGTGGAGGGTCTCCTGGGGAGGTGTGGGTTGGCTGTGGTGCAGAGGAGGGGCAAGGAGACTGGAGGTGGAGGCCCCATAAAATATTGATTGGCACGAGCTCTCCGAGAGGTGGCCATTTTGGCACTGAGACCTGGCTCCACCCAACAGCCTGCAGGCTCCAGTGCTGGGATGCCTCAGGCCAAACAACCAGCAAAGGGAGAACACAGCCCCAACCATCAGCGGACAGGCTGCCTAAAGTTGTACTGAGCTCACAGCCACTTTAAACACACCCCTTGACATGGCCTGTCAACCAGAGGGACAACACACAGTTCCACACACCAGTGGGCAGGCAGCAGTCCCTCCCTCCCTGCAAAAGTCCCTGACCTAAACTCACCCACAAGGGTGCAAACACCAGAAGTAAGAGAAACTACGATCCTGCAGCCTGCGGAAAGGAGACCGCAAACAGAAAAGTCAGACAGAACGAGACGGCAGAGGAGTATATTCCAGATGAAGGAACAAGATAAAAACCCAGAAGAACAAGTAAGTGAAGTGGAGTTAGGCAATCTTCCCCCAAAATAATTCAGAGTAAAGATGATCCAAGATCTTAGAAAAAGAATGGAGGCACAGATCGAGAAGACACAAGAAATGTTTAACAAGTCTTAGAAGGTTTAAAGAACAAACACTGATGAACAATACAATAACTGGAATGAAAAATACACTAGAAGGAATCTATAGTGGAATAAATGAGGCAGAAGAATGGGTAAGTGAGCAGTATCAGAGACCTCTTGGGTAGCATTAAATGCAATAAATTCACATTATAGAGGTCCCAGAAGGAAAAGAGAAAGAGAAAGGTCCAAGAAATTATTTGAAGAGATTATAGCCAAAAACTTCCCTAATGTGGGAGAGGAAACATTCAGTCTCGAAAGCATAGAGTCCCATGCAGGATAAACCCAAGTAGCAACAGGCCAAGACACATGTTAATCAAACTGACAAAAATTAAAGACAAAGAAAAAATATTAAAAGCAACGAGAAAGCACAAATAACATGCAAGGGGTGGTGACTTCGCTTTGGCCGCTGTGCAGTACTACCGTTAAGAGGCTCTAATTCCCTGAGACTTTAGAGTCTCAGGCCACTTGAGGCATGTGAGGCGAAATGGTTCTGGGCAAGAGGATCAGGTGGTGGCAATGGAGGGGCCACCGCCATCTCAGGATACCTGTAGGGAAAAAGCCTGAGGGGCCCTCTCAGTCATTGGAGACTGCGCTTTCTTCCTTTGCCGGGCCCTGCCTACCGCGAAGATGAGTTCGGCCTGGGTCACTTCTTTCGAGAAGGAGCATATCTGGATGTATCTGCAGGCACTCAACTTTGAGCCGGGCTCGGTGACTATAGCTGGTGGAAAGATCGTGTTGCACAGGCACCTCGGAGTGAACATGTTTGACAAGTTGAACAGTGATGCCTTTCAGATAGCTTCTTATTTTTTGTTTCAAACCCTTGACCAGTCTCTCACTAAAGAAGTTTTCAAACTTTGTTGGCCTCCATTTGACCAAAAATGTGATACTGAATTCCGAAAACATTGCTGTGAATGGTTAAAAAAGATTTCTGCTGAATGTGGAAGTAGCTTTCCTCAAGTTGTTGGTTCACTATTTCTTTCTCCTGGTGGTCCTAAGTTTATTCATCTGATGGATCACTTTGCAAGTTTTGTTGCAATAAATTATATAAAAACCCATTCTAAAAATTCTTCTGTACATTTTAGAGATATTTAACGTAAAGCCACAAGATTTGTGCAAGTGCATTGCCAGATGCCATGTAGCACATAACAGAGTTTTACAAATTTTGCAGAGAAGATTGTTACCTGAAAATGCACAACTATCAGTTAAACAAATACGAAATTTGAGATCAGAATGTATAGGACAGCAAAACCAAATTAAAAAAATGGAACCCTATGATGACCAAATTAATATACAAGAGAAAATTCAAAAGGTTCGGTCTTTGTGGGCTTCAGTGAATGAAACACTCATGGCTTTGGAGTAAGAGAAGTTGTTAGTTCAGTCCTTAGTCTGGTTAACCAATATACTTCAGATGGAACTAATGTTACTATCAATATTCCAAGGCTCTTACTTGACAAAATTGAGAAACAAATGTGTCAGCTGCACATAGGAAATGTTTAAGAGGCTGGAAAATTGAATCTCTTAACAGTTATTCAGTTTTTAAAATGAAATCTTGAAAGTAATGAAATATGAACATTGTCAGGCTAACCAAGCAAGACTGGCAATAGACCTTCACTTCCTTGAAAAAGAGACCAAATTTCAGAGAAAGAGTGTCAGATCTGAAGCATATGAGGGTATAAAATAAAAGAAGATCTCACAACTATAAGACATTCTATCGTTGAAAAACAAGAAGAATGGCATAAAAATTGGAAAGAATTTCTCGACCTCCTTTCAGTCTAATTAAAAGTTGGACTCCAGCTGTGGATCTTTTATCACCTATGTCTACCCTTTCATTTGATCCTGCCTCAGAAGAAGCATATGCGAAGAGTATTCTGGGTACCCTGGTACCCTGCTTCACTTCCAGATACACCTAAGCAACATATCCAGGAAAATGATTGCAGAAGGGCAAGTGATATAGTGGAAACTAAATGTGATCTAGCCAACAGCCCTGCTTCTTTCCTGTTGCAGCCCATTTCACCATCAGATAGAAACAGTGTTACACTACTTGAAAAGGACACAAAGTCGACAACTCCTAGAGAGAAAAATGAAACAGTTTCTAAGAAAACACCAGAACTTGAAGTGGAAGACTCTTCATCATCAAGTATTGCAGAGTAGTGCATTTGGAGGGTCTCTGCCAGCTAAAAAAAGTGATCCATTCCAAAAAGAGCAAGATCATCTGGTAGAAGAGGTTGCAAGGGCAGTTTTATCTGATTCACCACAGCCTTCTAAAGGAAAAGAAGTAATATTAGAGGAACTAATTGACTCTCTAGTTTCTAACCCATTCTTAACAAGGAATCAAATCCCCCAAACTCCAGAAAACTTGGTAAGTGAAAGCAGGAGCTCATGGAGAAAACCTGTTAAAATAGAAGATAACAGAAGTACAGAACCAATTCAAATGGATACAGAACATACAGAAGTATTGCCAGAATCCTTACCTGTGGTGCATAATCAAAGAGTTTAACATGGCCAGTTTTTTCTCAGCAACCACTGTGTCCGATTCTAGCCATTCTCATTTGCCTGAAGAGAAAGTTGTTTCAGATTGCCTCAAGTGTGTGTGCTTCAGAAACCTGTGCTGACCAGTTGCATAGGTGAACCAACAAAACAAAATCTGTCAGATTTGTTAAATAAGGACATAATTTGTAAGCAAGATTTCGAATGTACAACTTTACAGAACAAGCTTTTAGAAACTAGCCAAATAGAGACATTCTCCCCTGCTGTAGGCAATAGGAGAGATGTGATAGGTAGCAGTGAAGAAGAGTATATTAAAATATCAGACCACTCGAAAGCTTCTTACAAAGATCTTTCCATGCATAAAAGTATGTTATGGAACTCTTTTCAGATATCAAGTGGAATTAGTTCCAGTTTTAAAGGTAGTGATTTTGGCATATTACATGAAACTCTTCCATAAGAAGTTGGTCACTTAAGTCTTAATAGCTCCAGTAGTACAGAGGCCAATTTTAAACTGGAACCAAATAGTCCTATGCACGGTGGCATTTTCCCAGAAGGTGTTGTGGGAGGAAGACAGAATACTCCAGAATCAGACTTTAATTTACAGGCTACTTGCAGTGGATATGAGGCTCTGAGGAAATCTCTGTCCAAGCAAAGGGAAGAAATTTGCCTCTCTAATCCTGAAACACTTGAAAGACACAAACCAGAATTGAGCCTTACTTCCCAATACATGCAAACTGATGATATGCTTAACTTTTTGGGCACTCATGATTTGAACATTGACTATACAAAACCATCTTCATGCATGTCCCTTGGTGAAAGAAAACGGTCTCTTTCACCACTAATTAGGTTTTCTCCAGTGGAACAAAGATTGAGAACCACAATACCATGTAGTCTTGGAGAACTTCTACCTAATTTAACAGTCAATTTTGCTGAAGAAGAAATCTTGAATAAGAGGCTTGATGCAAAAGAATCTCCATCTGACTTGAAAGATGAAGCAGTAGCCCAGTCAATTTAACTATGATGAACTTAAGTTGAAGCAATGTCACAGGATAAAAACTGATTTGTAATTTAAATACACATTGGAAGTGTAACTGTTTTTCAAGGTCTAAAAAAGTCCTAAATAATGCTTTTTAGCCCTCTCTACTGATTTTAGGTAAGGAGAGTATGTTTGGATTTTCTCTCTCTGTATAGATATGGGGTTGAAATGTGAAGTATTTGGAAAGCAAACAAGTTATGGGAAGCGATTTTGGTTTCTTGCATAATCTTGTAAGCATGAAGTAAATGGCAAAGTATTAGGTTAACTAATTCATTATGTTCTAATTTCAGATAATTAACATAAGGATGAGTAGTTTTTGATGTGTTTTATTAAGTGGTTAACTTAATAGCCATTGGATATACTGATCTTTCTTTTTAGG